ATCTACAACTTTCCATAGGCAAAAAACTCATAAAGTAGATGAGACACACATGGTACTTCACCCTTTTATGGATAAAGCACAACTCCTGGTTGAGTTGTTCCTTTGTCGTTTAGCATGTTTCACAGACTCGTACGCTTCGTCGACTTATTTTGTGTGCTTTTTAGCTTCTCTACAATATCAGATGATATCCTTTGACTCAGATAATCCTCCTTAACTCAGATAGTAACATTTGTCGTCTTTTTTTTTATCTCGAGCTATATGCGAGAACCTATAGGCAATTTTTTATGCCTACACTAACGAATTGAGGTCCATTATCGTGCACTATTCTCCTCGGAACACCGTATCGATATATGATATGGTGTTTGATAAATTTTATCACATCACTCGTCTTCACCTCTATCGATATATGATATGGTGTTTGATAAATTTTATCACATCACTCGTCTTCACCTCTCGAAGTGGAACTGTTTCTGCCCATTTCGTGGTGTTTGATAAATTTTATCACATCACTCGTCTTCACCTCTCGAAGTGGAACTGTTTCTGCCCATTTCGAGAAATAATCTGTGATTGCCAAAATGAAACGGTCCCCTTTAACCAAGGTGGAAAGATAGGACCTACTATATCCATTCCCCAAGTTTCGAATGGCCATGATGTCACCGATGGATGTAAATATTCATGCGGCTGGTGCATATAATTTGCATGTAACTGACACACTTCACATCGTCGTGCGTAGTCGACTGCGTCTTTTACCATGGTTGGCCAGTAATACCCGATTCTCCTAAGTCGATCACAAAGTTTAGGACCGGGCTGATGTGCACCGCAAATCCCATCATGCGCCTCTTTGAGTGCTTGTTCTACTTCTTTGCCGGATAGACAACGGAGTAAAAGACCATCGTACGATCGTCGATACAATGTTTACGCTGTGGCGTTATAGTAAAATCTTGGTGCTCTTCGCCGGATCGATTCCCTTTCTCTTACATCTTCAGGCAATATACCATGTAGGACGTAGTCGATAATGGGAAAACGCCAATCTCAAACTTCAGGTTCAACTCCTGTTGAGTATGCTTCTTTAACATTTGAATCGTAGATTGGATCAATAAGCTGGTGAGTCCTCACTGTAATCAATTGTTCTGTTTCGGGAGGTTGAGCCAGGGATACCGACAACGCCGCCAATGCGTCTGCATACGCGTTTTGGAGACGTGGAACGTACTCGATGAAAAATTCTTCAAATGAGCTTGCCATCTCGATGGCCACCTGGTGGTATGGAATCAGGTCTTGATTTCTGACTTCATACTCTCCTCGTATTTGATTAACTACCAGTTGAGAATCCCCAAAAGCTTCAAGATATTCGACCCCCAGCTCTTTGGCGAAGTTAAGTCCGATTATCAATGCATTGTATTCGGCCACATTATTAGAGCATGGTTCGGTCAGTGAATATGCTCTAGGCAAGACGTGCTTTTTCGGGGAAACTAAAACGATCCCTACTCCTGAGGAGATTTTAGAACATCCGGGTGCACTTGCCACGTTGGTTGATCGAGAAGCTCCATCGAAGTATAATTGCCACACTTGTTGATGTGAGGTAGTATTAACTTCGTGAGTTTCATTTGGCAGGTCGTCGTACAATTCGACTACATCCTTCGTAGGGTTTTCCGCCTGAAGATCGCAAATAGCTCGTCCCTTAACTGATTTTTGTTGCTTGAAGTACAAGTCATATTGCGATAAGAGTAAATCCCATCTGGCTAAATGCTAATTCATGGAGGCCGGTTGGGTCATGAATACTCGGATTGGGTTTATGTTGGAGATGACATAAATTGTCTGTCCAACTAGATAATGTTGCATTTTCTGGATCGCGAATACCAAGGCGAGACATTCCTTCTCAATCATCGGATAACGAGACTCAGCTCCTACCAATGTACGACTCAGATAATACACAGCTTGTTCGTGACCGTTATCGTCGTCTTGCGCAAGTAACGCACTTAACGAATGGCTCGTTGCTTTGACATAAATCAAAAACGGTCTGCCCGATTTCGGTGCAACGAGAATAGGTGGATTCGCTAGATATTTCTTAATATCTTCGAACGCCTTTTGGTATGCTTCATCCCAAATGAACGATACACCTTTCTTTGCGAGTTTAGAGAACGGTTGACATTTTCCAGACAGATTTGATATAAACCGACGGATATATGCCAATCGACCTTGCAACCCCCTGAGTTCTTTAAGATTCCTCGGGGGTTGTAATTCATGTATCGCCTTCACTTTATCAGGATCGATATGAATACCTTTTGTGGTGACGACAAATCCAAGAAATTTACCGCTCGACATTCCAAGGAAGGACTTAGTTGGGTTCATCTTTAACTGATGAGCCCTCATAAGTTCGAACATCATCTTCAAATCGTCAATGTGGTCATTTTTATCACGACTCTTAACGACCAGGTCATCAACGTAGCATTCAACTGTTTTCCGAAGGTGCTCTTGAAAGATCTTCGTCATTGCTCGTTGGTACGTGGCACCGGCGTTCTTCAAACCGAAAGGCATAACGGTATAACAGAAGACGCCAAGAGGTGTTTTGAATGCTGTATGCTTTTCATCGTCTGGATGCATCTTAATCTGATTATACCCAGAAAATCCGTCCATAAATGACATTCTCTCGAACCCACAAGTGTTGTCAATGATGACGTCCGTGATCGGTAAGGGGAAGTCGTCTTTAGGACAGGCGGTGTTTAGATCTCTAAAGTCAATGCAGATTCTGATCTTTCCATTCTTTTTAAGAACTGGAACGATATTGGCCAACCATTCAGGATGTTGTTCTTCTCTGACAAAACCTGAATCAATTAGTTTCTTGACTTCAGCTTCTATTGCCTCCATAATCTGCGGATGAAACCGTCTTTGTTGTTGTTTGATAGGTTTAGCATCCGGTTTAATGTTAAGGCTATGCATTACTACATCTGGGTCGAGTCCCGGCATATCTTCGTAATTCCAAGCGAAAACGTCGATATACTCTTTAACGAGGGCGATTAGCTCCTCTTTCTCTTCTGGTGGAAGATCACCACTAATAAATATAGGTTTCGGATTAGTTTCGTCACCCATATTAACTTGGACTACGTACCTTATCCTCTGTAGGAGGCTCTCTTTGCTCGAATCTATCGCCGTATTAGATATTCATGTAATACATCCATGGATCTTCCCAAATAGGCAACTGATCGTCTTCTTCGGTTGTGGAAGGATCAACTGTCGCCATATTCGACATTAGGGATTTGAATCTTTCTCCAATGCTCACGTCAGAATCCCAGGTTGAAGCATCGGATGAATGCCCACTCCTATTTATTAGTTGGCTAATAATTTGTTGACCATATTCGTCATCAGATGATGAAGCATAACCCAAACCCCTTTTATGACTGTAATAATTATCCGGTTTTCCTTTTGGTACGTAGGTTGAACGGGGTGGAACTCTAACACCTTGACCAAAATGAAGACCTTCACCGAGTGAGAGATCATAGCCCTGGTTCGTCATATAATCATTCACTTGTGAACTGTACCGAGAGAAATGTCGCCCGGGTTCCTCATCATCTGAGTTAGTGTCCAAGAAATGATCTGGTGTTTATTTTCAAGAAAGTTATAATCTTTTGTTCTTTTGTTATTTGTATTCATTTGTAACGCTTAAAGTTTAATGAAATCAATGACTAAGGTAACTTTCGACAGAAACAAACGCAGCTCTAAGCCGCTGCACAACGCAGCTCTATCCGTTGCAGAACGCAGCTCCATCAGCTGTAGAACGCAGCTCCAACCGCTGCAGAACGCAGCTCCAAGCACTGCAGAACGCATCTCTAAATCACTGCAGAACGCACTTCCAGATACTGCGTTCAAGCACAAAATCTATGCCAGAACGCAAGTCAAGGGTTTGACCCATTCAAACGTGATCCATGCAGTTTCGAAAACCGTTTCTCACCCACAATCTGAGGAGTGGTTTACGTGGGTTGTTACAACCGATTAATGAGGCAACTAAACCCTCATTTGGGTGCGGATTATGGGGACAGTTACACCCCTAATCTTCCTATAAATATCATCAAACTTAATAGAGTTTGGGGATTTTTTTTAGCGATTGAGGTCGGAGATAGAAATCCAGGGATCGGATTTTGGAAAGAGGATCTGAGAGAGCGAGCTGGAGGATCAGCTCTTCACACAGTCAGGGGAATCATCTTCAACCGAAGAGTCCAAACATTCGATACTTGGCTTATTAACCGAATTATTTTCGGTTCAAACAACTCTTTTCTTATTAGAGTTTGTCACTCATTCTGAGCTACAATACTCGTCAAGAGTTATCAACCAGGCAAGTCATTTTGTTCTAGTGAATCAAGACGTTCGGATCGTCAACGGAGAGCAAGTTCGACGTAGGCATTCAAAGGAAGCACTCTATCGCCACCGTGAAGAACCCAGAATTAAACAAAGGGGAGAATGCAGATCATTCTCTTCTCTTTTGTAATCAGGAATCCAAATTATAATCGAGAGTTGAGAGAGTTGTAAACATTCTTTTTCTAAGCAGTTAGAGAGAATAAAATCAAACGCAATTCTTTCGTTATTTTCTTATTACAAAATTTTCCACAAACAATATGCTAATGTCCCAATTGTCTATGATGTCAAAATACAAAGTCATTTACTGATATATAATGTACCAAATCAGAAAATACTTAATCAAAATAGTCGTGCGTCACATTCACTATAAGGATTGATAAAACATAGCTATATAGGATTAGTCAAGACATCATCTTTTCCATAAATCATCAAGAGATTAAAAGTAGCCACAGAAAATCCTCCTCCTTGCAAATGCCTAGTCAAGACATAATCTCTATAAGGAAAAGTTAGACATTTGTATTACCCAACTTATTCTAGAAACATACATCATCCTTTGAATGATCGAAATAACACCAGTAAAAGAGTTTACCAAGAAACATACACAAAGTAAAAGAGCACTTAAAAAAATAACATGGTCATCACAATCAGCTCTAATCGGCCTCGTAGTAATAGGGTTCCTTGTTATATGTTAGATAGTGACCTCCTGTCCCAACAACAGAGGCACCGACGCTGGGTATGTTTCGGATGATTGGCCAGTATTCGCCTCCCATCACGCACTTACTGAAAAGAACATCGTTAATATGTCGCAATGAAAGTGTGAAATCATCATCCTGATGCAGCTGTCGGTCTTGCAGCAGCCTCAGCAGTCCCTCCGGGAGAAAGTCCATCTCCCATTGAGCTATAAATAGCCTCTCCAATGAATCCAGTTTCTCCACGTTTTTCAATTGAGGGTAAATACCCTCGATCCTCAACTCTCTTAGTGCAGGAAGATGAGAGATCCTTTCCAGACTTTGACAGTTGTCGATGTGCAACTCCTCTCTTAGTGCAGGAAGATGAGAGATCCTTTCCAGACTTTGACAGCTGGCGATGACCAACGAACCTCTCAGGTGTGGAAGTCTGTCGATTACCCTTAGACCAGCACGATATATGCGTAACTCCTTCAAGGGAGACCCCTTCAGGCCCCCAGGGAGTGATTTCAATGTCGGGCAGTCCTTAACAGTCAGCTCCACCAGATTTGGGAACACAGTGATATCCTCATCTCTGCAAATTGACCCCTCTCGCAAATTTGGCATTCTACTGAGCCGGAAAGACTCAAGCTTTGGAAAGAGCACCGGTGTAGAGCCGCTCCCATAAGCCTCCGAGCCAAAGGATACAGCTGCTTCAAAGGCATCCACAATAGTAAGACGTCTCAATTCAGGCAATAGACCGAGAGGAGGAAGCTGCACGACGTTTCTGCATTTAAGAAGAGACAAACTTGTGAGACGGGGAAGAAGAGATCCCAGCGATGGCGACATCATCCAAACTGGAAACCGACGACCAAAGTATCCACGGATTACTAATTTTTCCAGGCATGGCGGTGGGGCCAGCTCCTCTAACACATCCTGAATTCTGCGGATCTCTCCTTCGCTGTACTCAGCAGCTGGTGGACTAGCCCACAGTTTATAAGTGCATGCCAATCTTAATTTCTTGAGGTGACATTTATTCCGAAGCACACGTCGTCCCTCCTGCACTACCACCGCCTCCTTTAGGTTGCGTATGCCCAGCACCCTCAGCCGCTCTAAAGGGCTCAGATCTTCCAGAATGCATCCTTGCTCCCCTCCCACAACAAAGCCGTTGAAGTGATTTAACCGCTCTAGTCTTCCCATTCCAGATGGTACAAAGGACAGTTTGCCAGTACCCCGGACTTCAATAACTCTTAAATCGCACAGTCGAGTGATGTCTCTGGGAAGACTGTGGAGTGAATGACAGTAAGCGAGATCCAGAACCTGGAGATTTGTAAGGTTCCCTATTGACTCCGGCAAGCTGGACATTCTTGTGGAGCTAAGATCCAGCAGCCTCAGGTGTATTAGATTTCCCAAAGCATCTGAAAGACTGTCAAGTGAAATACAGCCAGAGAGATCCAGAACCTGGAGATTTGTAAGGTTCCTTATTGACTCCGGCAAGCTGGATATTCCTGTGCAGCTAAGATCCAACAGCCTCAGGTGTATTAGATTTCCCACAGCATCTGGAATACAATCAATCCCTGATTTCGCCAGTGACAGGACCCGAAGAAGTGGAAATCCAGCGAACACGTCGCTCCCAAGACCGTACGGGGCTCTTAGAAATAAGGTTCTCAAGCTCCTCTGTGAACGTGAAGGTTGAGGGATGAGTGCTGGTCCTCCTTTCTCCGTAAGTGTCAAACGTCGAATTTTCGTCGTGGCGGGCACTGTAGTTAATTCCTGTGCTTCTCCACAAAAACTTTCATCCTGTGACAGAAACTGAGCAAGTGATCGCAAGAGATCGTGCATCTTATAATAACCCTCTGCTTCTTTATAAATAAGATGCCTTCTAACTAGCTCTTCAAAACACTCTTCCGCTGGTTCTAAGAAAGAATCCTTTTGCGTTTCTGCAAATCCTTCAGCTGCCCAGTACTGCACGAGCTCAGCACGATCAAATTTATAATCCTCAGGGAATAAAGAGCAATAAAGAAAACATTGCTTCAGGTTAGAGGGTAGATCTTCATAACTCAAGTACAAGGCCCCCCTCAAATCTTCAGGTAGCTCGTCCATGGTCCAAGCATCCTTTTCCAAAACCTTTTCCCATTCCCTCCGATATCTCCCTTTTTTTATTAAAACACCGGCAATGCTCTTAATTGCCAGAGGGAGACCATCGCATTTTCCAACAATTTGAGCCCCTACACCTCTTAGACTCTGCATTTCCTCCTCCTCTCCGGTGACATATAAACTCTTGCAGAGCAGTTCCCAGCCAGATTTTGGCGGAAATTGTTCCACGGGATGGATGTGCACCGCCCCCATCTGCTTAGCAACATTCGCATCTCTAGTTGTGACTAGGACTCGGCTGCCAACAGCTCCGCTCTGTAGTGGACTACGTAGTAAGCCACCCCAGACATCTGCTCGCCACACATCATCTAGCACCAAAATGAAAGTCTTTCCTGAACCTGCGTCCTTCAGTAAAGGTTCGAGTTCTGCTTTAGTTTGCAAATTACAGGGATCTCCTCCTGCTCCTCTTATTATCTCCTTGAGCAAAGAGGTCTCTGAGAAATTTTGTGATATGCAGACCCATATCTTTGCAAAGAGGTCTCTGAGAAATTTTGTGATATGCAGACCCATATCTTTGTTGAGAACTCAGACTTTACTCTTGGGTGATTGAAGATATTTTTAGCCAGAGTAGTCTTTCCTATTCCGCCCATTCCGGTAATAGCAAATACTTGGGGTTTTCTTTCATCTTTCTTAACTATCCTCTCTACCAGATCGTCTGTAGCACGTTCAATGCCCCTCCCTACGATATCAGACGTATCTATGATAGGTGAGGTCTGACGAGTGTCCACTGTTGTGACTTGGGTATCTGGCTCACTTTTCATTAAGTTAAAGTCTGAAATATCTTCAGATATCTCATGCAATCTCTCATTTAGTTTCTTAATCGTATCACCAATCTCATGGCGGAAACGGATGCTAATAAAGCAAGAGAATAAGCGAGGGCCGCTAAAGCATGCCGATGATGTAGACGGTTGGACATCAAGCAATTCTCCACCCTCGTGCCTGCATCGGTCGATTATGTCATCGGCATCGTACATAACATCTTTGAGCTCCCTCACCCAGCGTGCAACTGATTCCGATTGGATGCGCTTTCTCTCGGCATCATGAAGCACATGCTTGATCCTCTCCATCCTCCGCTGTAGCCTCTTGATCTCGTCTTTCACGCCCAGGACAGTTACCACCTCCTCCTCAACAACCTCAGCCAGCTTACTGACCGTGGTTGCAGTTAAAGCATCCAGCACCATGGCCATCTCCTCAAGAAAGAAGCAAGTATTGCAAGTATTGGAGATTTCAGAGAGTTCACAACCAAATTTCTAGTTTGCTTTGTTTAATGAGGATTGGGTACTTAGAAATGAATGCACTCCATTATGTAGGTTTTTCTACTTTTCTATTCTCCCTCTCTCAATTACTGAGGTACAAGTGGGAGGAACATTAAGGTATAAGTCTACGGGACCACAATGGTGGAATAGCAAAAAGTGATCCGAACAATTGTTTAAATTCTGCAAGTGAAGTCAATGGAAAGTGCTGATAACCTTCTTGACGCATTCTTGGTACCGTCCTGTGGTTGAAATGCTATGACATGAAATGCTGTATACCATAAGAAACTGGCCCCCGCAATAAATCCCCATCGTGAATGTGGACAAGTCATAGAAAAAATTAGTCGGCCATTCATTCATCAAACTTGGACACCAAGTCTCCAATTATTTTCGCTCAAAAGATGGTTAAATTTCACATAACCCCCCATCTTTGGCCCCTTTAGAGATGAGCCCTAAAGTTTAATAATATCACCCATAACCCCTCTAACTTTTGGCCGTGTCAAAAGATAGCCCAAATTTCTTCAACAAACGTAGCTAATGGCAATGGCATAATCCCCAATTATCTTAACGCGCTCCCTAACTTTTAGTCTTGATCAATGGATAGCTGCAGCCTCAATGGAAGGTAATTATCCATGGAACTATACATCTGTAGAAGCATCAGGTTGATCACAATCATATTCTTTTGTTGCCATTTGAATCAACTTAAACATGTCAGCATCAAGACAATTCTGGAATTAATAGGGAATCACGTAATTTTGAAATGAAAATAAACCAAGCAAGCAAGGCAAAAGCTCAAAACTTAGTCGCAAAAATAGTCATACAAAGTTTTGACACATAACCAAAGACTCGTACAAGTTTAGCAGTTTACAGTTCTTGAGGTGAACCTTCCCATAAATTAATTAGGTGAAATAATTTAAAAGATTAACTGATTAAGAGCAACCAAGCATGATATGTAGTCAGATGTAGACATCAAGACCAACATTTTCTAGAGTATGATGGGTATCAGGACGTTGCCAAAAAAATTGAATGTAAATATCCAGAAAGGTAAACATTGGTTGCTGGATTAATTCTACCTTCGGCACTATTTGCAGTTTAAGTCAGGTTCATGGTTGCAAGAAAGAAAAAATGTATAGACATTAAAAACAGAACTCGATTGATTTCCCCAACAGCTTTAGTATCTTTTTGTTTTGCCTTCCAAAGTTTTGATAAGTCCTGTAAATGATACTCTGTAAGAAGATTATCAACTTCAGGTTTACAACAATAATGAAGCTTTCGTCACAATCTGCTTGGAACTTGGACTTGAATGACTTCTCTCAATTTATCTACATTAGGGGCCTCTTTACTTTGTTAAACAAGAAACTAGCATATTGTTCTCTAGCAATAAATTCAGTCACCAGAGGGGGGGAAAACAAAAACAAAAACTCCTAACAACATGTGACCAACACAAAATTAGTTGAGAGTAGGAGTATTTGATACTATTACAACTAGTGAGAGAATTCTGCAAGACCAGGATCAAGGATAGACACTTACCAATAAATTAAGCAAACAACATGGGAGCATTCTAAAAATGAAATCGTGCATGTCCATTGACAGCCTCTTCTGATAATCAAGGGGTTTTACAGTGTAGATCAGTAACTATTCTTGGCTCAAAGGGGGAAAAATTATTTTTGACATTCTCTACTCTAAATTGATAAATATAGACGCCTTACTACAATGAAATGATTATTGAAATGAAAGATTTTGTACTAAGACGAGGTGAGAGCTAGACTCAAAGATGCGATTAGTTTCAACCCAACAATCTGTTGGATATTTATTAAGAAATGGTAATTTTGCCTTTGTGTTTTAGTCCCACATCGGAAATTAGAAAAGAATTCTCTCTCCCTCGACCCTATAAATGCACACCCCTTATTCACATTCCAGAATACAAGAATAAAGAAAAAATTAAAGTTTTCTCCTCCCCTTTGGTTTTTAAAGAAATTGTTTTTCCCTCTATAATTTGTTATTAATTTTATGGGCAATCTTTTTCATCTGAGCTGAAACTCTGTACTCTTGCCCAAGTGCGGAGGCCGTTTCTGCGGGCTTTTACCGCTAGGGGGGAGGGAACCATTTGCGCCAGGCGATAGGCGGGTTCTTAATCTTCTAGGGCAATCTTCTAGGGCAGTGATTACACGACTGATTTAATTTAGCATGACAGGGGACTGTCTATTCCATCAACTTCAGAGGACAACGGAGGCAATGCGAGGTGTGCCATTGTGGGTATCACTCGGCCTTGCGCCTCTCCTACCCTCGAGTCTGTGTCACCTATCCCCTCCTTGGGTCCATAGCATTGTAAACTCGACAGTAGTACAGTCGAAAGGGTGTTTAATTGGGGTTTTTGAACAGTTAAAAGTGTTCCCCCATCTTGTAGGTTGGCGTTCTCGGCTGCCCTCAAAGCCTCGCTCTTTGGGGTATCCTCTAACCCACGATCTTGTGACGCATGGGTACGGATTTTGATCTTGCCGTGTTGCACTTTAAGGGTTATTAAAACCCATGATCACAAGAGTTCAAGGTCAGACAACAGAAAGGCTCTTCAACAACGACATATCTTAGAGGCATTGTCCACCTGGGGTGAGGTTGGAGGCCCCCAAAAACTCCTTGACACTATGTTTAGAGAGCTCCCTTCTCCCCACCCCTCTGCCCGAATTGACGACCCCGGTGCTCGCCCAACTACTAACAATGTTAAACAGTATTTGAGGAAGATATCGGATGGGCACTATTTAGCGGTTGTGAAGGTACTCACGTCCTCGGGGGTTGCTCCGGACACTCTGCAGACGCGTCAGTCCCTTGAGGACAAACACCCTTCGGCGCCTCCTCCGGTGTTGCTAGCTTTTGGGTATGGCCAAGAGCCGCTCTTAGTGGACTATACGGAGGTTCTCTATTGCATGTGGTCCATCCCTAAGGGGACCTCTTGTGGCTGTGATGGCCTTCGAGCCCAGCACTTGTTAGATGCACTTTGTGGTTCGGAGTCCACTATTGCTAACTACCTTCTCGCGGCTCTCACCCTAGTGGTTAATTTGTGGTTGCAAGGGCGTTGTCCGGCCTCCTTGACGGAGTTTATTGCTAGTGCTCCCCTCACTCCGTTGTTGAAGAGTGATGGGGGCATTAGGCCGATTGCGGTAGGTACCATTTGGAGGCGTCTCGTCTCTAAAGTGGCCATGAAGAAGGTAGGAAAGGACATGGCGAGTTATTTGGGAGATTTTCAGTTTGGGGTGGGAGTCTCAGGAGGGGCAGAAGCAATTTTGCATGTGGTTAATAGGTTCGTTGATGTCCACCATGCGGAGGACTCGCTCTCCATGCTTTTGGTCGACTTCCGGAATGCATTTAACTTGGTCGACAGGAGTAGTATGTTGCGGGAAGTGCGCCTTAAGTGTTCGGCGATCTCTCCTTGGGTGGAATTTCTATATGTGTAGCCCGCTAGACTGTATTTGGGGGTGGATTTCATTTGGCCTGCTCGGGGGATCCAGCAGGGGGATCCGTTAGGGCCTCTGTTGTTCGCGCTCATGCTTCACCTGTTGATTCTACGAATGCAGGAAGAGTGCAAGTTGGCTCTTCATGCTTGGTACTTGGACGATGGGTCCCTGGTCGAGGATACTTTGGAGATTGCTAAGGCATATAAGGTGATCGAGACTGAAGGCCCAAGGCTCAGGTTGGACCTCAATGTCACCAAAACTGAATTATTCTGGCCCTCACCGGATCCTAGGAGTTTGCTGGAGGGGCTTTTTCCCTTGGATATCAGTCGTCCTCGTGATGGAGTAAGGCTTTTAGGTGGAGCAGTTAGCATGGACGAGGGGTTTGTTGGTGGGTTAGCAGCGAAGAGGGTGGCAAAGGCGACTTAGTTAATGAAAGCGTTGGACCAATTTAGGGATCCACAGTGCAAGCTCGTCCTTTTGAGGGCTTGTGCGGGTTTTTCCAAGTTGTATTTTGCCTTGAGGACTTGCCCGCCACAGCTCTTTGCTCAGGCGGGAACTCAGTTTGATATTGTGCTTCGGAGGTCAGTCGAGAGAATTGTCACATCTGAAGGCCCAGGTTTCGGGGATCTCCAATGGAGGCTGGCCTCTTTACCTATCAAGGCGGGCGGGTTGGGGGTCTATGCAGCGGTAGATGCGATATAGTTTTCCTTTGTGGCCTCTCGGATTCACTCCATCGAGCTCGGTTGTGGTGAGGTTTCTTTAGGTGGGCATTTTATTTCCGCCCGGGCCTTTCTTCAAGCCAAGCTACCTGAGGTTGACCTTCTTCAAATCACCACTAAAGCGTCTGTCCCCTAAAAACCAATGCATTACTTGGCAGACATCTTTTATGGTGGCGTTTGTAGAGATCTATCGACGGAGTTTGACCTGTCAGAGAGGCAGGTTGCGATTGTTGAGTGCCTGCGGGCAAAGCACCCCTAGGATTTCTTGTTGGCCACGCCTATTGAGGGATTGGGATAGCGTATGACTCCGGGGGAGTACCAGGCCATCCTCAGGTACAGGTTGTTGGTTCCTTTGTTCGTGGAGGGGTGCCATCCATTGTCAGAAGCAGCCGGGGTTCAAGTACATGCACGACTTAGTCAGAGATGTCTTGTATGACATCCTTCAAAGAGCAGGGATCCCATCAAAGAAGGAAGCGCCGGTCAACTTCCTCACTCCTCCTGGAGAGGCTAGATCTACTCTAAGGCCGACAGACGTTCTTATCTACAATTGGAGTAGGGGGAAGCACGCTTGTGTTGATCTCACAGGGGTATCTCCGTTGGTGGGGTTTGGTAATGGAGAGTTCAAGGTTGGACATGTAGAGGATAGAGAAGCAGAGGCAAATGTGGGCAAACATGATCAAGCTTGCAAGGACAACCACCACAACTTCATCCCGTTCGCTTTCGATACGTTTGGTTTCCTTGTAGCTGATGCGGTGGAGTTTCTCAG